CAATGAAGCGAGACCTCATTTCACAACCGTCATACACTCGTCGCGCATTGATCATCAGCATAAGGTTGCCATTCGTTTTGCCGCACCAAATTCTTTTCAGGAGCCTTCTTACCGAAAACAGCCGCCGATTGGAACCACCTTCCCTCTTTCCGTTGTATCAATAACAGACCCTTTGTTATTCAAGACTGCAATTCTCAGCAATGCTTGTAACTATACGCAGTTTCCACTATCTATCTTTGTCTTGTATGTGCTTGAATTCTTATACATTTTTAGTTGACTTATGTTGCCTTCCTGATTTGCGCATCTGATACTTGTTTCTTTATTTTGTCTTTTTTTCTTGTGTGTTATATATGTTGTACCCACCCCCTCTGTAATGCCCTACGGGCCCTGAGGGTATTCTAATAAATAAATAAATAAATAAACGCTATTTCATTGGATCCCAAGTCCGTAAAAATTCCTCAATGGTTCGCCCCTCCTAAAAGCCTAACGCATTAATTGTCTGGTCATGGACACTTTCAGTATTATCTTCATCGATTTAATATAACTGCATCGGACAGGTGTATGTGTGGTGCACCTTGCTTGAGCGGACCGCACTACTTTAATGAATGCCCATACATGCAAGACATTGTGGCCCATTTTTGTGTGCACAACAGTGATACAACACTACCCGGGCATTATTATAGGCTATTGACCAATAAAAAAACTCGTGCGTATCTGCTTCAGTTAGTGACTGTCATGCGCAACTCTGTTTCTATGACATCCACATCACACGCATTAGCTACCCACACTTTATCAGGGCGTCGTTTCATACTCTGAATAACCTCCCTTACTATCTTAGTCTATCATCACGTTTGCGTGAATGCTCTGGATAATAGTCGCAGTTATGCCAACTAAGGTGGGGGAAAACCTCTGCGACTGATAACGATAGCATCACTGCTCCATTTTCCCTGTGTACAGGAACCATAGCATCCACAAGGCTTGCGTGATTACCTATCCCCGGCTCTCTTTTTTTTTTTTTGAAAAGCATGAAAAGCATCTCACTACGTCATTTTATTTGGACTTTCCCGCATTCAATGGCAACGCGTTTTGAATAAACATGCAGAAACACACACACACACACACACACACACACACACACACACACACACACACACACACACACACACACACACACACGCACACGCACACGCACACACACACTACAAGCGACCAGCGCAGAAGACTGCGGTGGCGTTTCTGCAGAAGACTGCGGCGGCGTTTGTTACGTCAGGGGTCAGGGGATCATCTTGTTTATCTTCTTTATTACAGTGGTTTCACGCTTTCGCAATCCCCAAGTGACATGTTTTAATTTTGTTGTTTGTTTGTGAATCACGTGAATGCTGCAAAAACGCCCACGTGCATCGTGGGTTGTGTACTTTGTACTGACCGACCTCTTTCCGAACCGTTTTTAAGCACTGCACTGCCTTTTAATCGTTCTTAGTTGTGCAAACCCACAGACAGACGGACATACAGACAGACAGACAGACAGACAGACAGACGGACGGACGGACAATGAGCTTGAATCGATCCAGAGAAGTTATTGACAGTACCCCCTAACGAGAGGCAGTCGTAACCGCTGGCCGCGCCCACATTAAGGACCGAACGCCATTACGTCCTCTGGATAGCCTGGATTTGCTTTCGCAGTAGCGTGCTTCTTATGACCTGCTTCCATTCGGCTTCGCTGGAGGGAAGGTTATTAGGCAACGCGAGACATCGCTAGCGCACATGAGCCAAAAAAAAAACGAAATCTTCCACTGCAGTCGGGGCAACCAGTGTCAACGTTTGAGTATAATTTACCGAGGAATCCATAAGACGGGATGGACACCATCTGCTGACTGACTTTTGCCGAGCTTCGGGTGAGGAAGAGGACTCTCCTGTGAAGCTGGTAATGCTTGGTGATTTCATTGAATTGCTAGAAGTGGATCGTTCTGCTGAGTATCTTCCGGTCCCTGTGTAGCCTCCGGACCGCCGCGGTGCTGAATTCTCGCTCACGATTGTGGGCCAGCTTTTTGAGGTTTAGGAAGCCCTCCAGATCGTTCTTCCCATGTGTGCAGGGAAGGAAGTAATGAAATGAGAGCCGGGACAAATAATTCTCTAGAACGGAGGCCCAATTCGAAAGCTCTAATTGCTTCCCTCGAGTCGGTGTAAATGTTCGAATGTTCTGGGTCTGACAAAGCCAACGCAACCGCAACTTCCTAAGCTATGTCTGGTGTGGCCGCTCTCACCAAGGCAGAGGATCGAAGCGCTCATCGCCCGTCTGTGACAGCGTGAACATTCTCTTGTTTTCATACGGCGATGCATCAACAAAGACAACCGAGTGCATATATCCGAAAGCAGGCGTGTTTCTTTTTGTGTGTGCCCGTGTGTGTGGACGGAAGGGTGAGTTATCTGTGCTTTATTGATTTTTCTACAGTGACCCTTGCCATGAGGCGTGTAAGGCTTTTGACTTAATAACATTCAACGAAGCACGAGATGGGAGTTTATATAAACTTCCGCTCGCCAAACAACTTCAGGCAAGTTACGCATAGGAATGCACTCCAATATGCACATTAGACGGCCTCGCAGAAAGTTGGAGAACTTGCTAAGCATCGCTGCTGTTATTTCGCTGTATTAGTAGCATTGGAAGTCCTTTCACTCATTGCTACTGGCAGTCACCCGCTCTTGAATATATTTTGGTAGTTTTCATGGTACAGCGCCAAATACATTGTAAATAATCGTACAAAATTTATTACCGCTATTACGGTGGCTGACCTAAGGTTACCTATACGTGTGCGTTTTGGACGTGAAGGGCGCTGTTCTTCCAAATATGTGGCGTATTTCAGCAATACATGTATTCGAAGGAGATACACTCATAATAAGCGACCCAATAATATTAAATCGCTCTGTGAGACCGAATTTTCAAAACTGCTGCTATACCGTATAACTTGTTACAAATGATCGTGTGAGGTATTCGGCATAATAGCGAGTAATTTTTGTCTAGAAAACAAGCATTAAGAAGGTTCGAGTCAGTTCTTGGAATTGTACCGAAGCAAAACTTAACTGACACACCAAATTAAAACCCTGTGCAGGTAACACTGGTGCGTACAATTGTGTTTATAAATGCGTACATTGGTGGGATCCCTCTCTATTCCCCTAATTATTGAAAGAGGATGACTATAATCAATCATTTTTGTGGTTCAGCGTTCAAAAACCAGGATCTGATTAAGAGGGACTCAAGGAGGACGCCAATTCAACCCCTTATACGTTTGCTATATACCTGTCCTGTCATTGATTAAAGTGCGGGGTTACGGCTGTGAAAGGTTGTGACGATGATTCGTCTGAATATCCAAGATGCTGCATTCCAAGGGCTCTTTAGCTTTAACCTTTAGCCTCAGAAGATTGTGAACCAAAGGCAGGGCCCCTGTAGGAATCATGTCACCAACCCATTTTGACTTTAGCATTCATTGTGGAGCCCGCGTTTCTCATTTTCTGAGCAACTGAGGCAGGGTAATGGGAGTGGCATTGTTGTCAAGCTTGCCCCCACACTTACTAATTGAGGACCATGGGCACGCCCGGGTACAGTGGCGCTCAATGTGAGTTGAAACACTATGGCCGAGGTTGAAAAGATCCTAAGCCTATACACTGTAACGACGCCAATTAAGGAATTCGTTTTGGAAGTTCCAGTATTCGAAACAGTGTTTAAATCACTGATGTTTATTTATTTTGACGCCACAGGGCAGTGTTGATGCCGCTTTTACCATGGGCAGCACGCTGAAACGCAGCGCATATTGGGCGCGACTGTACAGTGCGTGTGTCCATACGTCGGTGGGTATTGACCTACCGATCCTGCTGCAGAGAACATACGAAGCTACGCCAGGTCCTCGGAGACTGGGCGTATGAATAAGCGCGTTGAAAACGTATTCGGTGCTCCTCTCATTTTACTATGAAAAATTTGTAAATGGAGAGCGTGCTAGTCAAATGAGAGGTCGGCTTGTCGAAATGTCGGCTTGAATACACTCCCCCCCGTTTTCAAACTTTTCATCACGAGCTTCCATCTTAACCCGACTATCTGCTTGTTTTTTGTGACTGGAGAATACAGACACAAATATTTTGTAGTGTTCTAGGCACAATAACAAACCTACCTAGAAATGAAGCATGTTTCTTGATCCCAGAGCATGCTAACTTTCTGATAGAAGAAGTACTCGATTGCTTTTTATTCTTTTATATTCTGACTAAAAATCTCAACAACCAGTTTCTTTCTCTTCTCACATGCAGTGCTAAATAGACGCCTTGCCCGTATCCTGTTGCTCTCTTCCTGAGCGCTTCATCATCATCATGAGCGCTTCATCATCATCATGAGCGCTTCATACCCATGAGCTTAGTATTAAAGCAAGAGTAACCAATAAAAATGTTATTCCTTACCTTGGATGTACATGAGATAAAGAATGTGATCATTGTCTATAACAACTAGCTATCATAAGATGAAAGGCTGCTCAGGGAAGCAGTCGAGTTGCAGGAGGAATATAATTTTAATGTGGTGCTGTGAACTCGGTGACCGGTGAATCATTGTTCTATATCTTTCTAGAGCATTCGGAGAAAGGACGCAGAGGTTGTTGCACGAAATTAGTTGAGACAAAATATATATACATGACCTTGCTTCATTTCTCGCAAAGATTGTAGTGTAAAAGGTGTGTGCATCACACAACAGTGTGTAATACCTCGCTTTAGCACATTTTAATGCATGCGTTTCTAAATATAAATACAAGGACAAGACTTTCCAATATTAAGAATCACGCAGTAAACACAAAGGCAGGTTTGTCTGCATATATGAGTGCGATTTACGCAACTGGTATCTGTAGATTAGTAAACATTTGAAATTTGAAAGGCTAATCATAAGAACCGTGATCACCATTTAGACGGCTATGTGTATACCTTGAAGTATTTCTTCGTATATGGCGCATAACCGTAATTACTCAAAACAATTCGATGTTTAATTTTTATTGTTTCAGCATTTCCTGTGCAGGGTGCGGTGAGGCAAAACGTTCAATGCATTTTCAGGAACCATGAGTCTTCTGTAGACTGAACGCAGAAGTGGAATCAATCTACAGAAAAGGAATAAATGAGTAATGATGGGGAGGATAGGACATATGGACAAATGACACAAGACACCAGTGTGATTCGAGTACTCCGGTTCGGAGCAAAGTCACCAAGACCTTCGGGATGCAGAGACGGCTTCACTCAACACCACGTACGCCTCGGCATGAAACAGCACAACGAATAGTGCGAGAGAGAAAAGCAGTATCTTCTGCTTGCTTGCCTCGGCAACTTCGATTCCTCATGTGCTGAGTGGTACAGGCTTCATGGCGTCGTCGGTGTTCTCGCAGACCGCCTCACAGTCTTCGCAGACGCACGTCTTGCCCGAGACGGTCTCGTTGCAGCCGTACATGGAATCTTTGAAGGGCCTGTACTCACGCAGACCGATAAAGACCGCCTCGTTGGTGACAGGCTCGTACGTCACATCCACGGAAGTCAGTCCCACTCGCCTCTTGCCCAGGGCGCCGTACCAGAGCTTCATGGTGCAGTTCAGGTAGTCCTCGCCACAGATGGTGAAGGACAGAGGTGCGAACCGGACGAATCTTCTCGGGTTGATGCAGGAAACGTAGAGGTCACGCATGGTCGCGTAGTCTACGTAGAAGTTGGCAATCTCAGCCACCTCATGTGGCCCCTCGTCGTAGTGCACGACTTGCAGGAAGTCTCCCTGGTGCGGCGAGCAGGCCATGTTGCACAGGAGCTTCTGGAAGTTCGCGTAGCAGGCCTCGCAGCGTCGCAGGCCGAGGCCTTCAAGAGCCTTAACCTGATTTGCGAGCTGCTTGATTTGAGCTGCGTCGCAACAGAGGGAGTCGCCGTGGATCTGGAAGTAGTCGCCGCACGTCTCCTTCATGATGGCTCGCGCCGACTGGTCAGTCACCGGCTTGGGCACGCTGTTGTAGACGCACGGCAGCTTCTTCTTAGTGTCGCAGAAACCGTGCATCGAGCATCTGGCCGCGTTGGCGTGGGAAATGTAGCCGAGCAGCAGCGTTGCCACAAGAAGCAGCGTAGCCCTGGATGCTTCCATTGCTGATGTCCTGCCGGAGCCGGTACCGGTACTGGTGAGCCGCTCACGGCAGGCGCGTCCAGATATACGAGTGTCTACGACGCGTGGTCCCCGCGTATTTTGATCACGGAGGAGAACTGCCGTCGTACCCTCTCTCAGCGCAATCACCGAAGGTTGAGAAAGCCGAGGGGTAACTCTCTCCCATGGTTTCCTGCTTCCACGTTAGTTCGCGACAAGAGCAAGAAAATAAGCCAGTCTCGAGAGAAAAGGGAGATGGTTTCGCGATTACAGTCAAGGTTGAGAACGAATCTCGCTTCCCCCGTCCGCCATCGCCACTCTGCTTGCGTAATTGACATAATTCGGCCGGCTCCGATTGGTTCTGCGGATAGCTGCTCCTGCTGGAGGCTTGCCAGACACGCGCCCTACATACTCGCCAGCGTCTTGCGCGGGCGCGTCTGAGCACCTAAAGACACCATTTCGCGCGAAGCGCGCACCTCACCCCTCTTCCACATTCGTCCCTGCCTACCGTGGAAGCGAGAGCTGTGCCTTTGTCATTGTCTTCTCCGTCTTTCCTTTTGTAAGAAATCTCTCGCCACCGGCGTGAGCAGCGTATGAAAAACAACCACGCTGGCCGCAAGATACTGGTCTTCGGCTGCCACTGGCGTTGTCCCGATCCAAGCAGCAGTTGTTCGGCGAGTTAGTAAAGTAGTCACGTCCGCGGAGGGGTCGGGCCCACCTTCCTGCCTTCCAAGAAGCCCGCGTAGCGTGTAACGGACGAGCGTTCTGTGTGAAGCCGCGTGTTTTAATGTCGAGGAAGCTCACTCCATCAGGAAGAAATCTGAACAGCTGCGACCGAATTCCTATCCAAGATTTGTGCGGCCGATGAAGCAGTGTAGCAGTTTTGTTCTTATTCATTTATTTCATTCGTCAATCTATAAATGACTATAGAGCTGAATTCGCTGATATTAGTTATGTCTGCAAAGGTATTCTAGATAAACAAAAAGGGCACAAGAAAGATGTGAGTGAATTTACTGCTGGTCTGTAAAATTTCTTACGCATTGGTACATGGCCAGTCGTTGTAAGTAAAGTATGAAGGGAATAACACGCATGCTTCGCGTTGAGTGCGAATAACATGACATAGCCGACCACGTATTTGACAATGCCAGCAGATGCGTCAATATCTTTATTGTCATTTAAAGACACGTTTGATGATGTCGACGTAAATTTTGCTACCGTAAATGAAAAAAAAGAAAAGACAGCACATTTCTTACGAAGCTCACCATTGTTAGAATAGTGAGCATTGTGATTAAAAAAAAGTCTTTGCATCCACTATTTTTGAACATTCACCTTGTACATTGGCTAAATTTCAGAACCAACGACGAGAATATCTATTATATGAATAGAAAGTCCAGCTAGTTGGTACGAGTTCATTACTATACGAGGTAGTCATACCAACACTTACAGATGAAAAGTTTGACAAGTGGCTATGAAGAAGAGATCGGTGTTCGTAATGCCTCTTGCCTTGTGTTCACATCTGTACGCCTACCTTTTTAAATCAAGTGCATTCCGAACGAAAGTTGGTGTCAGTAACGCGATGGCAGTATACGCTTGCTACGTATGCCACCGCGTTCTTGGTAAATTTTTGTCAGTCAAGTACAAGGTTTTTGTAGGTTGCATAAAAATCCCTAGTAATTGCTGCTGTAACCTCATCGCCATCATTCTAGTATTTCTGCAGCAGCCATGCATATTTCCCCAGGTCCGGATGGAGTGACCTATACTGCCCTACGTCACCTAGGCCCGAAGGCACAGCGCTGTCTCCTGGACATTTTCAATAAGTCTTGGCATGATGGAATGGTGCCTGATGAGTGGAAGTGTAGTCGCCTGGTGCCTTTGCTGAAGCCCGGAAAGTCTCCATTCGATTTGGCATCATACCGGCCTATAGCACTAGCAAGCTGCGTTGGCAAGGTCATGGAGAGGATGCTGCTTACACGCATAGAATGGTACCTGGAACATTATAACATCTATCCTGATGCTATGACTGGTTTTCGACGAGGTCGGTCCTCAGTTGATAGCGTTATTGACTTAGTGACCTCTGTTCAGCATCAGAAAGCTCAGAAGCGGCTGTCGGTAGCTCTGTTATTAGACGTGAAGGGTGCCTATGACAACGTGACCCACCAGGCTGTTCTCAATGCTCTTGAAGCAGCTGAACTTGGAGGTCGTGTCTTTTGATGGGTAAGAAGCTACCTCACAAAGAGATCTATGTTCGTTTTAACTGAAGATGGGTCTACGAATAAGTATTTCACAAGTCGTGGGGTACCACAAGGCGGTGTTTTGAGTCCTACACTTTTCAACCTGGTTCTCGTGGGACTCACTGAAATGCTGCCACAGACGGCTTATGTATCTCTCTACGCTGACGATATCTGCATTTGGGCATCCGGCGTGACACGACCTCAAGTGCGCGCAAGAATACAGAAAGCGGCAACAATGACATCGACATACCTTCGCCAGCAAGGTTTGACTATCGCCACAGAAAAATGCGCAGTGGTGGCGTTTACACGCAAACCGATGTCTTTCTACTCATTGTGCATCGATGGCAGATCAATCCCATATAAGAGCACTCATAGATTCTTAGGCGTCATCGTAGATCGTGACCTAACCTGGAGCCCACATGTCACATACCTGAAGAAAAAGCTCATTGGCATTGAGAATGTATTCAAGTTCGTCGCCGGAAAATCATGGGGCCCATCCGTGCACTCCATGTTGCAGCTTTATACAGCCCTCTTTCTTGGAACTCTCCGGTACAACCTTCCGGTCCTGTCCAACACGTGCAAGACTAACATCCGTGCACTGCAAAGCGTACAAGCCCAAGCACTTCGGACATGCCTTGGCCTTCCAAGATGCTCATCAACAGTGTCAACTATTGTTATTGCACAAAAACAACCGGTCACAACGCACATCATTGTCGAGACGCTGAGAGCGCACATTCGGCATTTATCACGGCTACCGTCACATCATTTAGCGTGTTTGACAGCTCGGAGGTCCCATTCTTCGTACTGCGGTATCGTGACAAAACATCAGGACATACTACCGCCTGGCTTCAAACTTGCCATGCATCCAGCAACTGCGCCTTGGAGTCTTCGTCAGCCTGACGTGCGCTTATCAGTTCCTGGAATCTTTAAGAAGGCACGCATGTCAACGCTAGCCCTGAAGCAACTGACTTTGCGTCTGTTGGACGAAAGGTACTTCGACCGCATACATGTTTACACCGATGGCTCCACTAATTCCAACAGCTCCACAGGAGCAGTGGTTGTTCCATCTGACAATGTGTTGCTTCAGTACAAGTTTTCTCACACCACGACGTCGACAGCAGCAGAGCTCGCAGCACTTCAAGGTGCAGTAAAGTACATTCTTTACCAGGAACCTAACCAATGGGCCATCTTTTGCGACTCCAGGTCAGCCTTACAGTCACTACGGTTTGTTCTGCAGCACGGGCTACATAAACAATCAGTATATCAGATAAGGCATGACTACCACGAAGCGCTCGCGGAAGGTCACGATATTGTATTTCAGTGGCTGCCGAGTCATTGCGGAATCGTTGGCAATGACCGCGCAGATGAAGCTGCTCGATCGGCTCATGACCAAGACCAGCGCACGCCCATACCACTCTTGAGAACGGACGCTGCAAGGCTACTACAATCACTTGCTCGCCATATATCTCTCCTACAATGGAATACGCAGGGTTTCTCCAACACGCACCTGTATTCGATCGACCCAAACTTGCAACTTCGTTTGCCATCCGGGTTCCCACGATGCGCTGAAACTTTACTGTGTCGCATGAGGTTGGGCGTGGCATTTACGAATTCGTACTCTCGTCTCCTTGGAATGGCGAGCACTTCGGCATGCAACATCTGCGCCTGCGAGGAAACGCTTGAGCACATTCTATGTCATTGCCCAGCATACCAGACCAAACGACGTATTATGGAAGCCAAGCTCTGTCAGCTGGATTCACGGCCGCTTACAGAAGAGAAGATCCTGGGACTTTGGCCGACGGCTTCCCATACGCGCAAAGCCACGAAAGCCCTCTTGTACTTTTTAAGGAACACCAAACTTCACGACCGCTTGTGAAAGAACTGTGCGAGGCCGTGCTGTGTAGTTTCGAGCTGACTATTTCTGCTTCTCTTTCTTACTCCTCTTCTTTTCTGTCTCTTTTCGTTCTATTATTCCCCTTTTCCCCACCCCAAGTGTAGGGTAGCCAACCGAGCCAAGCTTGGTTAACCTCCCTGCCTTTCCTCTCTATTCATCTCTCTCTCTCTCTGCAGCAGCACATTGCTATGTACACAAGGTATTGATGGTTATTACCCGAAAACAGTTATCAGGCTCATCACCTCGCTACTTCAACTTATTTATTCGTCCGTGGAGCTAGTTATCGAATAACACTATGGTAAAAGAACCTCTTGTCATGTTGCATGCACGAATAGTTCATCACCAAGTGCTATAACAAATAAAAAAAATTGCATATACTTTGTAATGAGTACATCGAGTCACCTGCTCACCAATAGATATTTTTTTAATCTACAAAGGATATTGAACCTATCCTAATATTGCACACATCATTAATGACGTAAGTATCATTTATAATGTCACATTAGCCAGCCAACGGCAAAGAACACGTCTGAACGAAAAGGTTCGTCAATCTGGCCCTTGTGAAAGGTTCGCCACGCTGCTGCGCTTGTCTTCATTCCACCCCTCGTCCCGTTTTTTTTCAATAGACGCATAATTTTATTGTATTAACTATTCGCGGTGCTTAAAACGAGACCAACGCGTCATTTTTATAGTCATACGGAATTATGGGTGCTAAAGGAAGATAGGCTTCTCCGGCCCAAACTAGCTACACTTTATTCTTCGAAACATCCTCAATAGAGCACGCAGTGTGGCTAATAGTGCATCTGGCCAAACTTGAAGAACGGGATGTATGCAGTGCACGTCGCAAGCGAACGCATGCACGTCCATCTTATCAGCGAGTTCGATCGGCTTTCGATGAGTGCGCTTCGTTGCGTATTATACCGAAGAATCCGCTCAGTTTCACCCAGTAGGTTTATGTCAACTATTTTCCTCTCTG